CTGCTCTGTAACCCCTGCTGCTCCTGGCCCTACCAAATGCTATACTTCACTCAGAGATGTGGTCAGATGTCATTTACAAGCTTCAGGTAGTGGCGCCTTCTCTGAAGGTGAAGCCATGTGAATAATCTCTACAATAATATTCACATGTAGGTTTCTCAGACTCCATGGTGTGGTTCCCCGCTGCCATGTATTTTAATCTCCTATTAACCTGACTTGAAATACTCCTCAAAACTTTTGTTGAGACTTTCAGGGGGAAAAGGAAAAAAAAAAAACTTCTAGAAAAATAACAATAAAAGAAATTCTTGATGCCTAATCCTCAGCTGCAACCCTTGTCTAGAATTTTCACCTCCTGTGCCTGGTTTTGGTTCCTGAAAAGTTGCTTCTCGCAGAAGGCATTTCCCAAATAAATGGATAACAGTTTCTTTCAACTTTAATTCTACAATGTGATTCCCATGAGTTCATATTTAGGAACTACTCCTTTTTTTTTTTCTGCACTATATATAAAGCCCATATTTATTCTGTTTACTTTGTTTTCTTATTTCACTAATCTCCACAATTGTTTTTATTATTTTATTTGGGAATTATTATTTTCTTTTCTAGCTTTTTGAGCAGTATAATCAACTATTTTCATTCTTTTCTTTTCAATCAATGCACTCAACATTTTGCCTCTATCTTGGATTGACTCCTTAGCTGCACTGCACAGCAAGTATTATTTTTGTCATTTAGTTCTAAGCATTTCAAAACCCCCACTATGATTTCTTCTTTAATCCAAGAGTTCCTTAGAAATATACCATTTTAGTTTCCAAATGTATCCTTTATCATGTTAATGCTGGCTTCTAATTTAACTGCATCCCAGTCAGACAATGTCATCTGCTCACTAATGATTTTCTGAAAGCTGAGGTTCCTCTGATGACCTACTATGACGTCAAATGTGCAGATATGCTCATAGGCCTTTACCACAAATTCTAACAGTCTTTAAATAATGTTGGGTAAATCTTCAAAGTCTTTAACCTCTTTTTTTATTATCTGTCATATTTCAATAGAAATGTGTAAGATTTCCCATAATGACTGTGGATTTGCTCATTTTATCTTTGAATTCAGCCAAATTTTGCTGTAACACACGTGTATCATGATTATTTTTATGTTCTATGTGGTCTGTTCTTAACTTTTGTAGTGACCCTCTGTTTCTCTTCCTATTGATATTGAATTTGCCTTGCAGTCTATTTTTTTTTTTTTGATGTTAAGATTGCTACTCCACCTTTTCATTCATTGGGATTTGTCTGGTATGTCTTTATTTTCAATCTTTCTGAAGAGTTATATTCTCTTCGAGGTAGCATATAGTTGTGTTGTTAAAAAAAAAAAAAAATCCAAACCAATACTATAGGCAAATTCGATTCATTTAAGTTTTCTGGGACACATTTCTACCTCCTTTTTCTGTTTTCTATTTACCATCCTCCTTCTTGTGTTCTTCCTCATAGTGTCCTTTCTGGTCCTCTTATAGATTTCAAAATGTTCTGTTTCTGTTCTTGTTCTCTTTTGTTTTAGGATACATTTGCATGCTGTAAGGATTCGCCTATCTACACTGCAGTGCACACCTAGGAGGGCAGTCCTAAGATAAACCTTAATTCCCATGAGCGTACCTGTTTCAAGATTGCTCCAATGCTGGCACAGACCCAACACTTAATACAGCAGGCAGACAAGTGGATTGGTAGTCAGAGCTTTCATTGAGAGAAAGGATATTGTCCTTTTCTCTTAAAATACCACAAGCACAGCATGACTAGAGCCATTAAAATTTTTTCCTGGGGCTGGGGATGTGGCTCAAGCAGTAGCGCGCTCGCCTGGCATGTGCGGGGTGCTGGGTTCGATCCTCAGCACCACATAAAAATAAAATAAAGATGTTGTGTCCACCGAAAACTGAAAAAAAAATTAAAAAATTCTCTCTCTCTAAAAAAAAAAAAAAAATTCCCCCTTAATTTTGGTGATTTTCATATGAGATTTATTCAGATAATACCATCAGATAAGTAACTTATTTTCTAAAAATAATCACATACAGGAATGGGGCTGTGACTCAGTAGTAGAGCACTTGCCTAGAACATGTGAAACACTGGGTTCGATCCTCAGCACCACATAAATAAAGAAAAGTTATTTTAAAAAGATAAAAATAATAATAATAATCACAGGAGTTATTGCTCTGCTTTTCCTACTTTTACCAACATTTACCCTCTTTTTTTCATATAAAAAGTATTTAATCAATAATGATTGAACATTTACCCTCTTATGGGGAGCTTACTGCAGGAGTTTTCAATTTTGGATTTGAAATTTCAGTCTTAACATTATTTATGTAACAAGAAAGGAAGTAGAAATAAACTAAATGTGCATGGAAGGAGTAGCTATACAAATCATGCATCAACAAACTGGACTGTGGAATATCTACCAAATATCTACATAAAATCTAGACACAGAAAAGCACATAGACCACAGGGCCCTGAAGATACTCAGTGGGCACAGCAGGACACTCAAACCCATGTGCAGATAGCACGACCCACATGTGATTTTAAAACTTCCTGAAACATCTTAAGTCTTTTCTCTCCCTTTTTCTTTCTTTTCCTTCTTGTCATTTTAGTCCTGGTTGTCATGGTCACCACCTTCTTCTTTTTCTCTGAAACCCTAACTTTCAGTTCCTAATAAGGCCTATGCTTATTTCTCATACTTTTTAGGTTAACACAAATCAGATCACTGTGGTAAGTTCATATTCACTACACCAGTGTGTGACTAATTTCATTTCCTGGCAGTGATATACATTTGGAAAACAATAACGACAACAAAAAGATCCAACTGAAATTCAATTTAAAAGCAAAATTTAATGCCCACCTAAAATGTGGGGTGCTTTACATGACTTTATTCTTAATCAGACAGTGATTCAGAAAAAAGGAAGGGGAATTTCTGCCCCAAAAGTTAGTGCATCCCCTCTTCTCACAAAAATGCATTTGCCCTATTTAGATGGTTCCAGTTCCTTTGCCAGGGCTTTACCAAAGCCACAAACTGTGAGAGTAAAAATATACATCTTATTCTCTGTTCTTCCTGTTATCATACATGGAACCACATGATATATCATAGATTTAAAAAAACTATCAATAGTGAAACTTTAAAAACTAGATATATAAGTGGTAGACTAAGTTGCTCTGAGTTAAATATGTCTTTAATTAAATAGAGCCTTGTTTTGTTCCTAGAGATCCTGCCTGCCACCACTGGGTCTAGAGATGGCTAGCAATTTCACCACACCTCCCACAACTCCTCAGGGAAATGACTGTGACCTCTATGCACACCAAGACACGGCCAGGATAGTAATGCCTCTGCATTATAGCCTCGTATTCATCATCGGGCTGGTGGGAAACCTACTGGCCTTGGTTGTCATTGTCCAAAACAGGAAAAAAATCAACTCTACCACCCTCTATTCCATGAATCTGGTGATTTCTGACATCCTTTTCACCACGGCTTTGCCTACGCGGATAGCCTACTATGCACTGGGCTTTGACTGGCAGATGGGTGACGCCCTGTGCAGGATAACAGCTCTGGTGTTCTACATCAACACTTACGCCGGGGTGAACTTCATGACCTGCCTGAGCATCGACCGCTTCATTGCCGTGGTGCACCCTCTCCGCTACAACAAGATGAAGAGAATTGAGCATGCCAAAGCTGTGTGCATATTTGTCTGGATTCTGGTCTTTGCTCAAACTCTCCCACTACTCATCAGCCCCATGTCCAAGCAGGAGAATGAAAGGATCACTTGCATGGAGTATCCCAATTTTGAAGACACAGAGTCTCTTCCCTGGATTCTACTGGGTGCGTGTTTTATTGGATACGTGCTTCCACTCATGATCATCCTCATCTGCTACTCGCAGATCTGCTGCAAGCTCTTCAGAACTGCCAAACAAAACCCACTCGCAGAGAAATCTGGTGTAAACAGAAAAGCCCTCAACACAATCATTTTCATCATTGTCGTGTTTGTTCTCTGCTTCACGCCCTACCACGTGGCAATTATCCAACACATGATCAAGAAACTTCACTTCTCTGACCTCCTCGAGTGCCACCAAAGGCATTCATTCCAGATTTCTCTGCACTTCACGGTGTGCTTGATGAACTTCAACTGCTGCATGGACCCTTTTATATATTTCTTTGCATGTAAAGGGTACAAGAGAAAGGTCATGAAGATGCTGAAACGTCAAGTCAGCGTATCGATTTCCAGCGCAGTGAGGTCAGCTCCCGAAGAAAATTCACGTGAAATGACAGAGTCGCAGATGATGATACACTCCAAGACTTCAAATGGAAAGTAAAGGGACCGCATCCTCCCTGGACTTGGTATGAACTCTGTAGGACTTCTCTCCCAAAGTAAAACAACTATTCAGCTTCCAATCAGGATGCCTTTCAAATGGACACTATTTCCCACCATCAATGGATAAACTGATTGAGAAACATCAAGTTTAAGCTCAAGAGAACAGTATAAAGCAAGTTCTAATTCATAAATGAAATAATACTGTATCAAAAGGAAGCTCTCTAACTCTTGGTGAAGAAAAAGTTTTATATTAATAAAAAATCATTAATATTTCCTGCCAATAATGTGGCAAGAGACTGATAGATTGTATATTATCAGTGTAAAAATGTTAATATTGTAATATATTTTGGTAACATATTTCCTTTTTTATACTTTTATTGTATTTGTTTATTTTTATGTGGTTCCCAGGATCAAACCCAGTGTCTCACACATGCTAGGCAAGTGCTCTACCACAGCCCTGGCCTGGTAACGTATTTCTTAAATGCATATTTCCTTCCATTTTAGATCTTTGTCTCCTCAATAATATGGTTTTTATTTTGTTTTGTTCTGAGTCATAACTGTTTCAAAGAACACTTCTGGAATAAAAAGTAGGAAGCTACAGATTTATGACTATGTCCCTCACTGTTCACTATGAACTACCAGCAGAAGTTAGAGGGGGAGTAAAATTAGGAACAGGTAGATTAAAAAAGCAATACTGTAAATGTTGATGGTGACTGAGACAACACAGGTGTCCACCTTTCCCCACACAGCCAGGGCAGTATTTAAGGGCCACTGCTCAGAAATAGGGAGGTCTCCACTGGGAGAAGGGGTCACTTGCTAAATTCTCCTTAGGGGTAAAAAATAAGCATATATGTTTGTCTTCCCTTGGGTCCATAGGGGATCATCATTTCCCATGGGGGAAATTCTTTTTTATTCCCAGATTGATTGTACCTTGTATCTATGTTTCTGTAGTCTGGATTATAAGAAAGGCTAGGGGCGGGGGTGAACAGCAGAGTGTATGGTTGATACTTGCCTAGATAAGACAGGAAGTAAAATATAAAATTATAAGAGTTCTCAGGATTCTTTACAACACTATACACTTGCTCAAATAAATACCTCACTACAAACAGTAGTTCCTTTCTAAGCTCAATCTGTCTGACTGCTCAGAATGGATTACAAAGCCCCTGAAATTTCCTCAGTATGGTTGGTTATCTCAATTGACAATGATACTAATTTTGATAACAGAAGTTAAAGAAACAAAAGACTATATCATAAGTCATACTTTAAATTTGTATTGGGCTTTAGACCCTCAGACTATTTCAAATTCTAATCTTGCTCACTTTTTATCCCATAAAGAAATTAATCTTAATGGTTGGTGCAACAATGGTTGATGTATAGTTCAGATCTGTGTTATATTAACTTCTCAAAAAGCCACATGGCCTTTAAAATGCCTCCTAGAAATAGGTGATAGACGAGACTGCATGGACAAAAGTTGGGATCTAACTACCTTGCCTTCATTCCATCTATAAACTTTCCCAAGTGGAAGGGAACAAAGGGCAAGCACTAGATATTTTGTGCAAGGTGGCACGAGGTGGTCATTTGAGTCAGATGTCTAAAAAGAAACCATTGTGAAGACAACTAAAGGAAAACCAGAAACAAAGACACAAAACAGAGCCTCCTCAATGTCTGAGGCTCTTTATGGTAAACCAGTTCCAAACTACACTGGAACACAGACCATCCTGCAGATGAGCCAATGACAAGGTGCTCATGGGACCAGTTCTTAGGTTCCTTCACACAAGAAGGTCAATACCTGTAGCACTTGACAGAGGAACAGCACATTTTTTTTTTTTTGATCTTCAAATTCAGGTATTTAATAAACTTACAAAGATCCTCTGTATATAAAAGTTACAATTAGTCATTTGTGCCTGTAAATTTAAAACTGGTAACAGTAGGAATGAAGAACAATTTGAAATTCTAAAAACATGAGTCAAAGAAAATTCTGTGAGATTCAATTCAGAGTTTCAACTGCTTGTGGTCAACACAAACCACGGTTACAAATTCACAAGTTTTACCAATCCTGGGAATTTTATTTTCATTTACGTGAGCATGACTGTTACCAGTTTTATTAAATCCTACTTTCAGCATATAGCTGCAGAACACTTTCTAATTACTAAGTGGTAGGTAAGGAAGGAAGGGTGTTCCCTATGGTAAGTCTCATCAATGGGTTATTTGCTGTTGTGTTCTTTTTCTGACATTTCTTGTTAGTGAACTATGCTGCTTGCTGCATTTTCTCCAGTTTTTCCAGAGTCAAAGATTTTAAGGGTAAAAGTTTGGGTTTACAGAGCACCATTGTACTTATACCTTCCACAAACAGCTGCCCTTGGTTTGGAAGAACTTCCTGGAACACTGACTTTACTTCTGCCATGTACGAACTATTGGATACAGTAAGTTTTTTCCTCAAAGTTCCGGTTGTCTTATTGCTGTTTTAGCATCCAATCTGGTAGTATCAAGATGTCAGAGTTCTTGACTGAAGCCTATGGAAGGAAAGACACATTCTTTCCCAGAAGGTCAGCTGTTGCCGGGGGTAACGGTAAGACCAGGGGAAGAAAGGAACAGTACATTCTTTTACCTTAAGTTTCCCACCTTTCCCTTCCACCTCACCACAAACTTATAAACATGATGGTATCTAGATTTCAGTAGCCTACGACAAAAAGGTAAACTCTAAACAAATCTCCAAATAATCTTTTCTAAGTCTATAGTCCAGTCAAACTCAGCCCTTCTCTCTCTTTCCCAAGGCCTCACGGCCTACTCCATTCACCCAGCTGTCACTCACCATGACCTAGGGCTCTCTCGCATCATCTTGTATTGTTAGTTAACTTCACTTTTATTGCTGGCACAGTCCCTTCACCAGTAGTAGGTAAACTTGGAGCACAGAGACAGTGCTAGACAATTTTTGTATTCTGTTACAGAACAAAGGAGGTGATCTACATCTGTTTAAAAACTGTGCTGGGCACATGAGCACCTATAATCCCAGCTACTTGGAAGGCTGAAGAAGGAGGATCACAAGTTGTATCCAGCCTCAGCAATTTAATGAGGCCCTGTATCAAAATTTAAAAAGGTGGGGGGGATGTAGCTCAGTAGTTGAGCACCCCTGGGTTTGATTCCCAGTACCACAGGGTGTGGTGGGGGAGCGGTAAATTATAACTTATAAGTATTTTCTAAATGAATCAGTTAATACATTACAAGTTTAAATAAAATAGGGAGACAGGAAAACTCCATTTGGGGAAGCAGATAGTTATTATGGCAGATGGCCATATTTCTTTCATAATACTTTTATTTCTAAAAAGATCATTTGGTTGAAGTTTCTTAAACCCTTAAAGCTACTCAGTTTAAAACTATTACATGTATCAACTAGTCAGTGGTGGTATAAGAATAACAAGAAATGGCATCAGGTATGTCTAAAGAGCTCAAAAACGTAGAAACAGGCCATATGTTACGTGATGTCTTCCCTTCCACAGTTCTGTGGACAACATGAGCAGGGAGGGCTGCCCACACTAAATCCAGAAAAGCAGCTGGTCAAGAGTGAGCAACAAGAGTTGCCAGCCTCAACAACCTAACAAGACCCTGGGAAGGAAGGGAGGAAGGGAGGGAGGGAGGGAGGGAGGGAGGGAAATAAAAAATAAAAGCTCAGTAATAGAGCACAAGTGGGTTCAAACCCAAGCACTGCCAAAAACAAAAAATAAAGAATAAATCATGTGGACCCAGAAAAAGTATGAGAGGCTGACTTGTATCATTTATGCCAGCAGAGTATATAATCTTTAAATAATAGGACAAATGACTCAACAACAGCTTATGAACTTGGCTGGGCTATGAGCCCCTTGAGGACAAGGCCCTGGTTGCTGTGTACCAGGAGCTGGCACAGCACCGGCCAATACAGAGTTCTCAAGTACCCACTGAACAGAATGGCACGTGTCTTGTACTATCACTGGCCACACTCTACATCCCCACGAGAATACCTGGGACGTTCTTAATTTCTCAGAGGAATGATAAGAAATACCATAAATGCTAGATTGCACGTGCCCCTGAGGAGAGACGTGTGTGCCTTAGAAGACTCTGCAACTTAAACTAGACATATTAAAAAAACAGAGGCAATTAACCAGCAAATTATTAATAGAATTAGATAGAGCAGTATGTTCTGCTTGGAGGTAATTTCATAACTCAAGGGGCGAGGGCAGTGGCTCCTACCAACCAGCCAACAGTGGTGTACAATTTTAAAAGGGGAAGCACTGATCTTAAATTAGCCTTTTAAATGTTCTACTTTGGTTACTTTTCAGTCTGTTGTAATCTGTTATTCTCTGAAAAGCTAAAAATATGTGTTCACTGACTGACTATTCAGGTTAAGAATCAGAAATGAAGGCATGAGGACTAGAAATGATGTGGGACCAACCAGGCCCATGAGTATTCACCAGACTGCTGCCGATGGAAGTTCTAAGCATTACACTCAGAAAAACTCATCACTTAGAAGAAAGCCCCACATTTCTGCTCATTAAAACCTCAGTGAGCAAAGAATGACCGTTACTCATCAGTCACCACACACTCTTCTTACCACGGCACAGGCAGCATGTCACTTAACCCCCGCCTGAGCTGGTGTGCTTATCATCCCCACCGTGCTGAGAGGAGCCTGGGTGCCAGGGCCCGTGGTGTGCTGGAGCTGGGATTTAAACCCAAACCTTCTGGCCCAGGGCTGCAGCCAGTCAATGACTGGGAGCAGTCCCTTGTCACCATTACTGAAATGTGCTCAACAAGAACTAGCTCCAGTTCCTCCTCTTGCCTGGGTCACATGCTTGCATTTCCTACAGCCTCCTGTGCCTGTCCCTCTCCCCACTTCTACATCTTACATCAGCCCATTTCCCCACATGGCCCCTAACTTGCCTGAAGACTCCACCTTCACTCTCCCAGCCATTCACAGCCTCCTGACATGCAGGGGGGTTAGCAGATGAGCAAAGCCTTGCTTGGTTTTACTCCTCCTGCACTCTCCTGTCCATCTTTTCTTTACCCAATGTCACCACCACTGTCTAGACACCAGCCAGCCATACCTAGATTGCCACCACCTCTTCCCCTCTGGCTGCTCAACCAGAGTCAGAACTTTAGCCTCCTTTAGGACACTGTCCAGGAAGCCAACATATTATACTAATAATACCAACCATAACACCTGCCGGCGATTATATAGCACAGTGCTCCAAGCACTCATGGGAAGCTCAGACGCATCACAGTAGCTCTGTGAGGCTGGTCTTTCTCTCTGCCCCCATTTCATAGACTATGAAACTAACTTGCCGGGGAGGTGTGTGGCTTTCCCAAGATCCTAGTCATTGCAAAGGCCAGGTTCTGGATCCCAGCAGTATGGCTCTGGGTCTTCACTCTGAAGCCAGGGCCTCACATGTGTTAGGCAATCACTCTGCCATGATGAGCTACACCCCCAACTCTTTTCTGAATTTTTATTTTTAAATAGGTTCTTATGAAGTTGTCCAGGCTGGCCTTGAACTTGTGATTCTCCTGCCTCAACCTCCTAGTTGAAATCCTAGGATTTCAGGTGTGCACCACTGCACCTAGCTATGCACTCTTACCACTACATTTTCTCTCTTAAACGAGTAGTATTACATGTCCCTCAAAGAGTCTTGAAAGAAATACTACTCCCTTGCTGGGTGGGGGGCGGGGGGATGTGACTACTTCTAGCCAATGAGTTGAGGGAAGTGATATATATCACTTCCAGGGTGAAGTGAGAAAGTGATGACATATTCCATCCAGCTCTTTTCTCTCGCCACTGTGAGCAGTGATGCTCTGGATGGTGGACCTTGGTCAGCCTGGGTCCCTGAATGAGTAAGTGCAGAACTCCCACCCTATGCACCTGTGTTGAATGAGCAGGGCACACAAGCAGCACACTCAAGTGTTAAGCCTCTGAATTCCAGGATGCATTTGTGGCTGCAGCATAAGTTGCCTACTCTGATTGACAGAGTGTTTAACCTACTTGGAAGGAAAAACCAATATACAGAATATAGGAAAAGAAAATGCAGACAATCCTTCTAGCACACAAACTCATCTTCCCCTCATCCCACTTTCACTGGGTCCTTTCACGCTCAAGGATGGAGTCAAGTTCCCCAGAGTCTACAGCATGGAAGTCCCACTTCCTCCCCTACACTTTCAATCCTTCCAAGCCAATTTCTTTGCATTGCCCAGTATATGCCTTTCAAGTCAGTCTGGTTAGTTTTGTCTCTCTTCCAAGAAGAGAATACACATTTCGTTCTCACTGGATGGATTACTTGTTCCCTCAACTTACTGTTTACACCTACATCCAAATTGTACCTCTTCCTTTAATTCTTGGATGACCCAAAGCCACCCATCTTCCTGTCTTCAACTCATTTGGCTTTTAAAGTCTACATCAGACAGCCTGAACTCAGCCAAAGGAAGAAAAAAACCCTTTAAATAATAGGACAAATAACTCCTGGGCTCCTGAAGCCTGGTTCTAGTTGGCTGTGACCCAGCTTTGACCCACTCTCTCCAGTCTTTGAGCCTTTCTGGGCCTCGGTTTTCCTCTCAGGGAAGGCAGTGTTAGATAATCTGTCAGCTCTCTGCTGGCCATCAGATAGCCTAGAGCCTATACTTCATGCTTGTGTCCCTTGCTCAGCTAAAACATAAGACTCCACTGGGGCAGAGACACTGACTTTTCCTGAGCAGCTGTGACTACAGCTCCTTGAATGTGGACAAGTTCATATTGGAAACCATGTTGACAACAGGCTGTCACACATTAGCCACATGCTCTACATTATTAAAACAAATGGAAGTGGACATGAGATTTATGCTATTGCATGTGATTATTTGTTAAGCACAGTAGGTCACTAACACATGCTTGGTACTAAAATAGTAATCATGAGAAATATTTTACAGTAGAAACTAGAACAACATTTACCTCAGTCAGGATTTCTTTTTGCTTTCTGCTGACAGTGTAAGAAGAGGACCACCAGCTTTTCCAGTTTCTTCCACATATAAAAACGGCACATATGTCTACTTACACTTACTTATCTCTGACAGTGCATATTCAAACTGAAGAGAAATCTCTGCAACACTATAGTTGTTAGAAGAAATTATATGAGAAGGCACTATAGATGGGAAATACAGAACACAATTTTTGTTTCAATAGTTAATCTTCCTCAAAAACCAAGAGCTTCTGTGTTTCTTCTCCTTGCTAATAATACTTTTTAGATATCTTGTCTACATAACTAACCTGCAAGCCAGTCCTGGGCAGGAACCCCATGACCTACTGTCCCCTAAAGGACCTATTGTAATTGATCAGAAACAAGAATTTAAGTACTTTTTGATTGTCCTTTTTCCATCTTCTCAGAGTGTGAGAATCTTTATTTCTGGTTTCTATAACTTGTAAGAATAACTTTTCCCATGTAGGTTTTGAGAAGAAAAGAGTATGTCAGACTGAAACCACAGGGGGACTACAAAAGGGTTGAATCATCTAAAAAAAGTAACATTCTAATGTGTCCTTTCTGCCTGAGGATAGCAATCCACAGCCTTCCCCCTCAGGTCCCACACTGAAACCCCCTTCCCCCACTTTGGTATGTAGTGGCAACATTAGGGTGCCTGCCTGTATGAGGGCTTAAAAAGATGGATGCATCCTGTGCTATCATTCACTACCTATCATGTATAATGACTGAGACCTACTGCAAGTGTCTCCAGAGACATCTCAAGTATTACTGCAGATTTGTGCCCCATCAGCGGAGCAAGGGTATGAAGAAGGTCATGAATTTGATCTTACTGGTTTTATTTAAAGAACAAGTGTAAAGAGAAGGCATTAGCCTCACACACCTGACACTCACATGACAAGAAATGGAAGCAGTCTTTGTTTCTAGTCTCAACAATCTTTCCCAGGCTCTACCTGAAGCCTGGTATGTGACTGTGTCTGTCCCCACACCCTCAGGTCTCTCCAGAGACCCAGAAAAAGAATGGTCAGTCTCAGGCACAGGGTTAGGGGATACTGAGGATTTAGGGAGCAAACAGTTAAAGGGAAAAGTGTCTCATTAGGGAATTATTTGAAGTTTGTGTGGCGGACAAAATGCTAACAAGATAACAGGTACGTGGCATTCATTCTGCTGTTTCTCAGCATTTGTGAATGTTTGACATTTTCTGTAATAAGTGTTTATAATGGTAAATATAGCCTCTAACACATCCCCACACTCTTGTTACAACAAGGGTGGAAGCAGAAGTTCAGGGATGGATTCAGAGAGAGAGGGACAGAGATGGGTTACCTGAATGATGTGAGAAGAGGACGCACAGTGGCCACATTTACACGCTAAGAGCACATGTGGGGAGTCTCAACAGAGCTTCAACAAGTTCTAGTAAGGGGGCTGACAGTGAAAAAAGTCACTGACAAAGAACAGGTTATGTTTGTATAATTGCCAAATATGAATAAAGTCATACATATTGATGTACTTAGGAGTAAAGGAACACCATGTGTAAAACTTACTCTCAAATGATGCAGAAAAATATCACAAGTGCCCAGAAAGAAATGATAAAACAAATTTAGAATGTGTTAAGAA